TACAAGAATAACCTCAAATATGAGTATAGAAAATAGAATGTGAAGGTGCTGAATCTTTCGCTTAATTATTTGGGTTAGAACATTTAGGTCACATACAGATGCAATCTTTCACTTAATTATCTGGGTTAGAACATTTAGGTCACATACAGCTTTGGCATCTTCATTGCTATCTCCTTCCTCTAGCCTCTGCAAAGCTGCTCAAAGAGCATGCACCTCACATTTTTCGTGGGAAAATCAGACATCCTTCTGCTTTCTAGGTTCTGTTTTAAGCAATGCTCGCTAAAAATGAGGGTGGCCTGTGAATTACGATTATTTGCCGATACCAAGCTGAGAGAATGAGTGCAGGAAGGAATGCTTTCACAAGTGGTAGAAAGGTACCCTGTTCAATACTCACCTAGATGGACAACCAGTCCTTCTCGATTCCCAGCACTGTGAAAATGGAAAAAGGAGCTCCTACGCTTTTTGCCATCTTTGAGGGTTAATTCACGAAGGGAGATCCGATGCAAGAAAATTTTCCCGGTCTTTTTTAAAAATGGCACGATTGAAATGGACGGCTACGAAGGAAAAAGGCATTTTAGCCCAAAATCCCAACTCAAATGATTTGAATTAGGATATCCCAATGTCACATAATAAAGAGTGCAGTTGGCAACTCCTGTCTGCACTTTCCCTTTCTGGTCCTGTCGAAACAGAAACTTCATACCTCTTGTGTTGGTTAAGGTCGAGCTACTTCCTTCTCTCTAACTCGACTCTAGTAAAGTATTCCATTCGTTCTATTAACTTTATCTACTCGCTATGTAGCTCGTAAGTAATGGTAATTCACAGGCCACCATCATTTTTATTGAGCATTGCTAAAACAAAACCTAGAAACCATGAGGATGTCCGATTTTCCTGTAGAAAATGTGAGGTGCAAGCTCTTGGAGCAGCTTTGCAGAGGCTGGAGGAAGAAGACAGCAATGAAGATGCAAAAGCAGTCTATGACCCAGATGTTCTAACCGAGATATTTTAGTGGAAAGTTCAGCACCTTCACATTCTATTTTCCATACTCATATTTGAGGTAATTCTTGTATTCCATTTTCAATTCTATTATTGTCTTCGTGATCCAGTCCACCATTTGACGCGTGCACTTAATCTACCCTACACCCCTCCATTTAGTCGCACATTGGATCCACGCATCCTCTCTCTGTTTTCTTGATCTTCCATCTTAATCTCCTTCAGGCCAATTTTCTCCCCACATCAGTTTATGCTTGAATTTGCTTCACTTACATGACTATTCTGAGCAAAACATGTCCACTGCTGCATTTCCAAGAATCGCGCCTTTTGAAAGCCAACTCTTGCTCGGAGTGAAATGACGAAGAGACTTGCCACCCTGCGAATAATTTAGTTGAGCAAAACTCAAAACTAATCTAATTACTGTCCAATTGCTCTATGTCTCTTCAGATAACAATCATGAAGTAATTGGATCATTGTTCTGTTCATATGTGGCAATGATTGAGTTCCACTAGACTACATCTTTTATTACCACACGCTCAAATAGGCATCTCCTAAGTTACTGAACTTGGCATGCATGTTTGTTTGTTAGAGAACATTATCTGCAAACAAATCTAAGTTTCTGCCCATGCTTAATGATGTATAGATGAATTATGGTTCCAGTCAAATACCTCATCGAACTAAGCAAAAATAACGAGTAGATTATATACAGTCACGGAATCCATCTTTACTTCCCACGGAACTCATAGCAGACAATTTCAGCTGACATCTCCCATTCGAACACCGAGAAATCATTGCATTCCATGAGCCTTTATCTCAGATTGACATGTTGATCCTGTTAAACTTAACACGATCTACTTATCTCAGATTGACATGTTAATTGAATCTGCAGAGCACTTGCGAAAAAGAGACAAAACAACATGTGGGCGAGGACGGCAATGATACCTATCACTGTAAAGATAGGACAGTTCTGCTCACTGGCGTTGATCGAGCTTTACTGATAACAGAAAACCGTACCTAACGGTGGCCAAGCTTCGAGGTGGCCTTCAATGGAAGCTCGACGGCAGCTGTTGATGTTCGGAGTTGGTGAACAACGAAGGCGGTCATATGTATGAATGATGAAGCTTCAATCGGCTTGCTTCCATCGAGGTAGAGATCGCAGATCAGAGATCAGAGAGAGAGAGAGAATTAGTGGAGAGCTTCGTGAAAGACAGAGAGAGGATGAGTGAGCAAGGAGAGTTTCTCATGGAGAGAGTATTGCCTTCGCTTTTTCTATTCTCCGTGAAGAACCGAATGACTATCCTTCCGCCCCTTCCTGTTGCGAGCCCAAAACGGATTCTGTTGAGAGTGCAAAACGGATTCTGTTGCGAGCGCGGGTGACTCAGCCAATCCTTTCGAAGGCACTTTACCTCGTTTTCTCTCCGTTTCTCCTCTCGCACATCTTTTGTCTTTTTTTTTTTGGGATAAATGCTACACCTGTCAATATAGATCATAAATTCATTTCTTAACCCATATATCAATAAATGGATCGTAAATAGATTAGTTATTCATTAAATGGGTAATAAATGGATATAAATATAATATGGATGTTAAATGGGTCATAAATGGGTTTACAACTTATTTAAACCCAACTCATCTCTCTTGCCCTCACTTAATCTCGTACTCACTTATTCCACACTATCATCTTAATTTGGGTATGAGTTTTCCTAGATTGAGTTAAATATAAAAAAAAAATTTGCAATATGGATCGGGTCGGGTATAGGTTGGGTATGCGTCAGGTCGGGTACGAGTCATTAGATTTTCATTACATGGAAATGGGTCAAAACGAGTTAAATGGATCTATTTGGGTCGGACCATTTTTTACCCGACCCAAACCTGACCCAACCCACCCATTTGACAGGTCTAATAAGTGCATTGAAAGTTTTAAAACTTATCACGAAAATGCAATTTGAGTCCTAAAACTTTTAAAAAGTACAATCGAGTCCTTAAACTTTTAAAAAGTGCAAACAAGTTTTAAAACTTCTCAAATTTGTCTAATAAAGTCCTTCCATTGATTGCACTTTTTCAAAATTTTAGGATTTGATTGCATTTTTTAAAAGTTTTGGGACTCAATTGTACTTTTTGAAAGTTTTAAGACTTCTAGTATAGTTATCACTTTTTATTTTGGCTTGCGTCCGCGTCGATCATCTGGAGAGAGCAAGAGATATAGAGAGAGAGACAGAGAGATGGGCTGAGCTTGTTTAG